GGAGGCCGGGGAGCGGGACGGTGGGGGGTGGGCAGAGGGAGGCCGCGCTTGAGGCCGGGAGCGGGCGGGGATGGGGGGGTTGGAGGGAGGTCACGCGGGAGCCGGGGAGCGGGGATGGGGGGTCGAAGGGAGGCCGCGCGGGAGGCCGGGGAGCGGGGATGGGGGGTCGAAGGGAGGCCGCGCGGGAGGCCGGGAGCGGGGATGGTGGGGAGAGCGGAAGGAGGCTGACGGGAGCGGGGATCCGGGGGAAGAGGCCGCGCGGAGCCGGGCGCACCTGGATGTCCTCGATCATGTCGGGCGTGAAGAGCTCGCGATTCAGCAAGGCGTCCCAGAGCGAGGCCACCTGCAGCTCGCCCACCAGGCGCACCCGGCACCGCCGAAGGAGCCGCCGGTCCGCTTCGTCCATGGCCTGCAGGCGGATGGGCCCGGTATTCCGTCCGCTTCCGGACCTCGGGCCCGCCCCTCCCGTTCCTCAGGTTCCGCCTCAAGCGCCACGCCCACCCGCCGACACTGCCTGCGCCCCAGGTCCCTTCCTCACCACCCGGGGCCCCGGTCCCTCCCTGAGACCCCAGGAACTGTGCGGCCCTGCCACTGCTCTCCTCCGGCCCGCCTCACGACCCCCCCCCCCGCGACTTTGCCCCCTTGCCCTGGAAGAGACTGCAGGACACGCCCCTCCCACTGCCCCACCCCCTCGCCCTGGAGGAGCCTGTAGGACATGCCCCCTCCCACTACCCCGCCCCCTCGCCTTGGAGGAGCCTGCAGGACACGCCCCTCCCACTGCCCCACCCCCTCGCCCTGGAGGAGCCTGTAGGACGCGCCCCTCCCACTACCCCGCCCCCTCGCCTTGGAGGAGCCTGCAGGACACGCCCCTCCCACTGCCCCACCCCCTCGCCCTGGAGGAGCCTGCAGGACACACCCCATCCCACTGCCCCGCCCCCTCGCCCTGGAGGAGCCTGCAGGACGCGCCCCCTCCCACAGCCCCACCCCCTCGCCCTGGAGGAGCCCGCAGGACACACCCCATCCCACTGCCCCGCCCCCTCGCCCTGGAGGAGCCTGCAGGACACGCCCCTCCCACTGCCCCACCCCCTCGCCCTGGAGGAGCCTGCAGGACGCGCCCCCTCCCAGTGCCCCGCCTCCTCGCCCGGGACGAACTTGCAGGACACGCCCCCTCCCACTGCCCCATCCCCTCGCCCTGGCGGAGCCCGCAGGACACGCCCCCTCCCACTGCCCCATCCCCTCGCCCGGCGGAGCCCGCAGGACACGCCCCCTCCCACTGCCCCGCATCCTCGCCCTGGCGGAGCCCGCAGGACACCCTCGGGTCACTACCCTGGAGGAACCTGCAGGACGTGGTGTCGTTTTCCCGTCCTTCCTCGCCCTCCCCAGCCCAGATCAGGCTCCTGGTCCCTCCCTTAATCCCACCCCTTTCCCAAGCACAGCTTTGCATTTGTGCTATCTCTTCCTGGCCGGGACTCCGGCCGCCTCTACCTTTACCGGGACTCCGGGGTCACACTACCAACAGGAGAAAGTTATGCCTGGCGTGTTCCGCCTCATTTCAACCTCCGCGAACCCCACGTAGAAGTCTCCCTCCCTCCCTGGTACTGTGATCTAGACTCAGTTTCCTCTATGAACCCAGCCTACAGTAGTCTAAAGTTGCTCTCCCCTCTGCCACCCTAGCACCCCCCAAAAGGAAAAGAACGGACAAAAATCTAGTCCTCTAATCAAGTTTTGCTCAGCTCGTTTTCAAAAATAATTGTTCCTGTTTATTAAGTTTTAAGTTCCGGCCATTGTGGTGAGCCATTCTTCGTAGCTTTTCATTTATTCCTGCTACCAAGGAAGTCATCTTTTCTCGTTTGCCAGCTATGGAAACCGGCTCGGGTCACAAGTGAAAACAGCCAGAGACAGATTCAAACTAAAACTTTACTACCTATCCCTAACCACCTTAGAATAGGCCAAAAGACAAACTTACCATAAATTAAAAGACCTTAATTTGTCTCATGGTTCTAAGAATCAAGGACACTTCATTCCATAAAATAGAATGAAAGTCCCTTGAGCTGAGCAGGCAGGTTGATTTTTATAGACACAAGGGTAAAGCAGGAAACCAAAAATGGATTGTTTATTTCAAAGTTAACTTTCCTGGAAAGTGTAACTAAAGCGGAAGAGATGTATGTTGGTCAGCGACTTGCCTGATATCTTGCTAAATTTATCATAACCTCAGATATACAAACGTCCATTAAGTGATGGTGGGTGACAGAATCTTTAGCACATTTGGGCCTGCTAGGCCCAAACACTCATATATATTTTAATAAATGTAATCATTTTGAAACAGATGGTAGAGAGGAGATCCACCCCTTCCTGGGTTTTTGAGAGATTAATTGGAGAGAAGAGTCTCACAGGGACTTTTCTGCACAACTGGTTTCAAACCATACTTCTCAGATCTCAGCCTCCTAAGCTACAATGTTTTTTTTTTTGTCGGTCATGGGGCTTGAACTCTGGGTTTGGGCACTGTCCCTGCATTCTTCAGCTCAAGGTGAGTGCTGTACCGCTTCAGCTACAGTGCCACTTCTGATTTTTTAGTGGTTTATTGGAGATAAGAGTCTCATGACTTTCCTGCCAGGGCTGGCTTTGAACCATGATCCTCAGATCTCAGCCTTCTGAATAGCTAGGATTACAGGGCTGAGCCACAGGTGCTTTGGGCTCAAATAGAAAACCTACAGCCATAAACTGCCATTGGATGGTGAAGAAGTGGTACTTCTGCCCAACAAAAGAGCTGTGAATGGCTTAAACACAATCCATCATTTGCATAATAAATTGTACATTGATTAGTACAAACATCAGGGGACTATTGTGATTGGTGCAGACCACCTAGACCATCCTCTCTCCAATGTTAGTGAAAGTTCAACTCTTTTATTTCTTCCCTGTCCATCTGCCTCCCTCACATGTTAATATCAGGTTCCAGTAAAGACTCTAGTGGTCTTCCCTGACACTAATATCAAAAAATTGAGGGCTGGGATGTAGCTCAGTGGCAAAGCGCTTGCCTAACAAGTGCAACGTCCTGAGTTCGATCCCCAGTACCAAAAATGAAAAGACAAAAAAAAACAGTTAAAAAAATGGAAAGAAGCAGCTATGGCAGGGTGGGAGCTGCCCTAACAGCAGGGCAAGCTGAGTAGGCCAAGGAGCAATTGGAGGAAAGTAGCAGCTCACTGACAGCAGAGCATCTATAGCCAATGGAGAACTCTAACACTAGTGCCTTGAGTGACCTGAAGTACAGGAAGATACCAGAGCTGACTGCCATTTCTCCTGAAACCTGAAATTACCCAGAAAAAGTGGAGCAGCGTCTCCCCTACCATGATTTCTTTTTTTTTTTTTTTGGGTCCGGTCGTGGGACTTGAACTCTGGGCCTGGGTGCTATCCCTCAGCTCTTCAGCTCAAGGCTAGTGCTCTACCACTTGAGACACAGTGCCACTTCTAGCTTTTTTCTTTTTGCTTATGTGGTGCTGAGGAATCGAACTCAGGGCCTCAGGTATGCAAGGCAAGCGTTCTACCACTGAGACACCTTCCCAGCCCCCCTACCCATGATTTCTATCTGGGTTGAGAAAAAGAAATGCAGCACTGATAGTCTGTAACAACTTGAGCAGAAATACTTTGTTTTGAGGGGGCTAGGGTCTAGCTCAGTGGCAGAGCATTTGCCTAGTACAGCACTGGGTTGCTTGATCCAAACCCCATGGTTACCAAAGACTTTTTATTTTAATATTTATTGGCAGCTCATATGTGCCTAGATCTGTGCAGACCCAGAGAATGTAGATGTGAAAAAAAATAGGTAAGAAATCTCTGTCCTCAGAAACTTACACTCCACGGAGAAGAAACAGGCAATTGATGTGAAGAAAGAAAAGCAGTATGAAGCCTGGCACCAATGCCTCACACCTGTCATCCTAACTACTCAAGGAAGCTGATATCTGATGATCTCGGTTCAAAGCCAGCCTGTGAGCCGCTTGTCTCCACATAACTATCAAAAAGCTGGAAGTGGAGCTATGGCTCAAGTGATAGAGCGCTAGCCTTGAGCACAAAAGCTCAGGGACAGCGCCCAGGCCTTGAGTTCAAGTCCCAGGACCAGCTTAGTGATGCAAACTATTTTTTAAAGGATTAAAAAAATGCACAGGGCAAGTTGATAGGAAGCCTCTTTCTTTATATCCCCAAGGGATCTCTCATTGACAAAAAGTTTACCAGTCCCCTTTCCCCTCCCTACCTCCATTTCTAATATTTAAATAAATCTGGATCTGGCATACTATAGGGTAGAGATCTCTTTAACAGAATTAGGACTCCTAGATTCTGCATTTTAGGAAGTCCCTGCCGCTCTCGGTGCCTCAAGATAGGAGGAGATGGACCAGGAAGGATCCCTAAGGTCCCTTCCAACTCTGACGCTCCAGGGTTCTATGAATAGGGTTAAGGAGAACTGGGACCAGCGAGAGCTTCCCCATCCTAGCAACTGTTGCTAGACAGGGGCCGCCTCCCGGTAGGAGTAGAAACCCCTCCCTGAGTCTGGGAAGTCTTCCTGGCATCCCACAATGCACAGCGGCTTTGCCTAGCTAGGAAGCACGTTTTGACCTCTTTGGTCACCACCAACCCTTTGGACCCAGCCACCATAGCGCGCCTCGTTCCTATAGCAACCGCGCCTGGTCCACGCGCCGACGGTGGATGGCAAGGGCCAAAAGACAGTTAAAAAGTAGAAGCCGTAGACTCGGCGAGTCGGCACCGTCGGCGCGCGGGCCCTTTAAGCGTCACGTGACTCCTTCGGCCGGGTCCCCGCCTCTTTCCCTTCCCCAGGCCCGGGCGAGCGCTGGTGTGGACGGGAAGCTGCCGGCCCGGCGGGCTAACTGGAGCACGGACGCTGCAGCCGGTTGGGCCGGTGCCCTTTCCCGGTAACTCCTTCCCGGCATGACGCGGGGAGCCGCGGACGTGGCGGGGCCGGGATCTCCCGTCAGTGCCTTCTCGTTCCCGGTGCCCGCTGGGCCCGGGGGTGGGGGAGGATCGGGAAGCGACCCGGCCTGGCCCCGGGTTCTCGGGGCGGCGGGGAAGGAGGTCGCCTCCTGGGATGGCTGCGACCTCCGGTGGGCGCTCGAGGAGGGGCTCAGACCCAGAACGGGTCCCCGGGAGCCTCTGCCTGGTCCTGGGGCCCCGGCCCCCAGGGCGAGCAGCCTACCTGTTACAGGGCAGGTGTCACCCTTGGCCCGGGCCCCCAGGGCGGGCCGCCTACCTGTTTACCGGGCCGGTCCAGACCCATCTGACTGACCCAGGTGAACGCCAAGTAGAAATAACAATCCCACCACTTGGTGGCTGTTGACTCCATCCATGCCTGGTAAACCTTTGACATACATTAATCCCGGTGACGGCCCTGCCTATTTTAGAATGAGAACGCTTAGGCCCAGTGAAATTAACTTGCCCAGAGTCCTGGAGAGGTGTAGGACCCATCCCAACTTTAGTCTGATTCCAAAGCCCGTGCTCTAAAACTGGGTAGCTTCATCACCTTCATGGTTTTTGCAGGTCAGATCCGCTTGTTTTAAAGGAAAAAAACTGGTTAGGATTTTATTGGTTATGCAGTTATAAACATCAATCATCAGTTGAGTCCATTTTTCAAGGACTCCCAGGCAAGCGTTAGGCTTTCATTGTAAAAACCCACCACTTCTACGATGTATTACACATTTGCACCTGGACACTTTATGACAAGTCAAGATAAATGTGATCCACAGGGGGAGTGGAGAGGGGATTGTGTAATATAACAAAGATCATGATCCTGAATTGAAAATGTCTGTTATATCTCACTGCCAGCCAAGATTATTTCCAAAACCCTCAGTGAATTCAATCCTGAAGCTCACCAGACGTGGAGCTTAAAGCATTTTTTTTTGTCACTAATTCTCATTCACCTGCAAAACTAAATTTTTCCCTATTTTTTTTCTCCCTGGAGTTTCTCCTTTATTATGACTCTTATTGCTAATGGAACAAAAGAAAAGCTGGTCATTTTCATGTTAGAATGGACAAAACAAATGGAACAGAATAGAATTGGTGTATCCTAAGTCTTAGCTGCCAAGTATTTTAAGAGTGCTTTATTTTAACTTTATTGTCAGGATAGATGAAATCTCTTATTTGAGAAACAGTCACCCTGATTATCTGTTTATATTTTCATACATACACTTATTATTTCTCCATCTCATTCATTTTTCAGTCGTTTTTAAAGCTTTTCTAACCCAAAGCTTCTGGAGAGTCATTCTTATCACTAATCTTTTTCTCTGTAGTGGGTCTTGTAATACTCTAAAGTAATAGCAAGATTCCTGATTTATTTAAAAGGTAATGGGTTTTCATCTGTCTATCTTATCCATTCCCCTGCAAAGCAAAACTGTCGGAGATTCTGCACTGAAACTTACTACTTCTTCAATCATTGCAGCTCTGGGAAGGAAGAGAGATGGAATTGAGGAAGTTGAGCATTTCCTGGCAATTCTTGATAGTTCTGGTTCTGATCCTGCAAATTCTGTCTGCGCTGGATTTTGACCCATACAGAGTCCTAGGGGTCAGCCGAACAGCCAGTCAGGCTGACATTAAAAAGGCTTACAAGAAGCTCGCCCGGGAATGGTAGGTGAAACAGAACCACAGTTTAATGTAAGCTAAGTAGTGTTAGCAGGGCGATGAAGAATAATTAGGATTGGCTTTTCTCTGTCTCTATTCTGTATTTCATGTGTATCTGTCTCTCTCCCTAGATAGGAATATATCTGTCTAGAGTATTTAGTGTGAAACTAAAAGGAGCAGCTTTTTTTTTTTTAAGAACATAGTAATCAACTGTGGGTAAAATACTCTACCCTTTACTCTTTTGGAGTAAAAATACTAAGGAGCCCACTGTCCTATTCTCTAAAAATGTTTATGCATTAAGCAAGTTTAGAGTAGCACTTTTTATCTTCAATTTAAAAAGGATGTTTAGGAACTGAGAATCTTAAAGCAAATATTATGGATGTATCCTGGTTTTGTCAGTAGTTATTTGGATGGTAATTAGCAGAGTATCAATAAAGCTAAAGCTTATTTTGGACAGTCATCTTGGGTTTCTCCCATCAAAGAAACAGAAATGTTGGGTGATAGAGCTTGAGGAGGAGCCACATGAGGAAGAGAAAGGCCTGGGAGAATACTTTCAGGTAACTTCCAGGTGGCTGAGACAATCAAAAGCAATGAGCAGATTTGCACTGATAGGCTCCAAAGTAGGCCATTACTGCATGCTCAGGTCCAGGTTCTGTGTGTTTCAACTCACTGAACCTTATAATTAGCCTGTGAAGGAGGATATTGTTGAACCTGTCTTACCGATGAAAAAAACTGAGGCTCAGAGTTGGTAAATTTATAAAACCTTAGGGTTCTGTTGTCTGTTCTTGTGCACCAACTGACTCTATTGGTGTGATTTTTAAAGCATTTTCTCATCTCAGTGGAAAGAGGGAAAGGACCTGATGAGAGCAGGAAGTTGGACAGGAGTGACACTGCCATATGTGGGTGGCACCCATACGTGAGTCTGCCTGGTACCACTCTTCTTTTTTTTTTTGCCGGTCATGGGGCCTGAACTCTGGGCCTGGGCGCTGCCCCTCAGCTCTTCAGCTCAAGGCTAGCGCTCTACCACTGGAGCCACAGCGCCACTTCTGGCTTTTTCTGTTTATGTGGTGCTGAGGAATCGAACCCAGGGCCTCATGCTTGCAAGGCATGCACTCTACCGCTGAGCTACCTTCCCAGCCCCGAGGTACCACTCTTCTTAGTGAGCAAATAGACCCTACTGTTATTAAGCTGATTGCAAAAAAAGTAAGAGGTAGAAGCCCACAACAGTGGCTCACGCCTGTAATCCCAGCTACTCAGGAGGCTGAGATTTGAGGATTGAGGTTTGAAGTTGACCCACACAGGAAAGTCCATGGAATTTTTTTTTTTTTTTTTTGCTGGTCGTGGGGCCTGAACTCTGGGTCTGGGCGCTGTCCCTCAGCTCTTCAGCTCAAGTCTAGCACTCTACCACTTGAGTCACAGCAACCCTTCCGGCTTTTTCTGTTAATGTGGTGCTGAGGAATCGAACCCAGGGCCTCATACATGCAATGCAAGCACTCTACCACTGAGCCACTTTCCCAGCCCTGCATGGCATTCTTATCTCTAATTAACCACCAAAAAGCTGGAAGTGGAACTGTGGCTCAAGTGGTAAACTGCTATCCTTGGCAGAAAAAGCTAAAGGACAGCATCTAGGCTCTGAGTTCAAGCCCCAGTACTAGCACCAAAAAAAAAAAAAAAAAGGGCTGGGAGTATGGCTTAGTGGTAGAGTGCATGCACGCATGAAGCCCTGAGTTCAATTCCTCAGTACCACATACACAGAAAAAGCTGGAGGTAGAACTATGGCTCAAGTGGTAGAATGTTAGCCTTGACAAATGAAGCTTGGGGACAGTGGCCAGGCCTGGAGATCAAGCCCCAGGACTGGCAAAAAAGAAAAAAAGATAAAATGCAATATAATATAATGCATTCAATAAATATTTTAGGTCATATTAGGAATCTAGAATTATTGGACGTTAGAAAAAGGCAGTCTCTAATTTTACATGGCCTCTTTCCAGAGTCTGTATACCAAACTTACTTTTGGTAACATTTCAAACTCTTGTCCCTTTATGTAAGCACCGTATATAAACCTGCAGTTAATTCATAAAGTAACAGCATTCTTTTGGACAGTATACAATAGCTTAAGGATGCATAGCTCTTTGCCCTGTCTGTCTTGTGGAGTGAAAGGTGTGTTATAGTATTGAGTAAATCAATCATATGATTCTTTTCCTTAATTAGATTCTCTCTAACAGTAATTCATCACCATAGAAAGAAATATAGTGTCATCTAGTGACATGTGCAACTTTATTTTACACGTACATTTCCACTGTACCATTACTTGCTGCTGCTTTGATTGTGACTGTGTTTTAGTTTGGAGTAGTTTCAGTGTTATATCATAATGGGCTCATTTACACTGAAGAAAATAGTGTTTTTCAGCTTGACATTTCATAAGGAACTGTAGCAGGGAAACTGGTGAACGGTTAGATTGTATTTTACTAGGTGTTTCACTAGTATTGCTTAGTCTTCTCAGGAATTTTCCCTTCCTTGCTTGATGAAACCATGTAAAATTGTTTTTTTTCCTCTCAGAAAAATTATGTTTCCCACCCAATAATTAAGTTTATTTTATTTTTCATAGATACTTTGTGTCTGTCATCTAGGCTAGCCAAGTAACAACTCCTTTGATCCCAAGAAAAGTAAATAGGGTTGGGTCCCATGGCTCATGCCTGTAATCCTAGCTACTCAGGAAGCTGAGATCTGAGGATCTGAGTCAAAGCCATCCCGGGCAAGGAAAGTCCATGAGACTCTTATCTCCGATAAACCACCAGAAAACTGAAGTGGTGCTGTAGCTCAAGTGGTAGAGCACTCTCCTTGAGCTGAAGAGCTCAGGGACAGTGCCCAGGCCCAGAGTTCAAGCCCCATGACCGACAAAATAAACAAATAAATTGGCCTAACATGGTTCAGCCAGCTGCGCAGGAAATGAATTTGTTTCCTTCTTTCTGTATTATTGTTTCTCCCTTTATTTTTGTTTCTTCAGAAGTCACTAGCTGCCATACATAGGAGTTCAGAGTTTCTTCACTTTGTAAGGGAATGTTTGCATATTGTAGTTGGTAAAAGAATTTCATATTCGGGCTGGGAAGGTGGCTTAGTGGTAGAGCGCTTGCCTGGCATGCCTGAGGCCCTGGGTTC